TCATGATCTTACTTCCTACATTGAAAGTACACAGGAGTTCGCTCAGCCTTTGTTTGTTGTGCTTTTTTTTTCAAGACTTTGTCTCGACTAGGTAGAGGTGTAGTCAGTGAGAGCTTATACTCTGTGGAGCTCTCTCCTGCTCTTCAATGTCTCTCATGGTCCTTGGCAGACACCTGCAAATATCTGTCAAAGATAACAAATGTTTGGGTGTCGAAACAATCAAGCGGACGTCCCATGCTGGCTCCCGTCGTGCTTCACCCTCCTCTTTGTGTCTGTTGGACACAGTCTTCTCTGATGCTAGTGTATCACTGTACATGTCATCCAATGACTGAGAGAGATGGAACTGGATTAATATTCTGAATGTTCTGATCCAATCTGAGCCTGGGTTCTCCCAAGGTTTTTTTTTCTCCATTTCTATCACCTGATGGAGTTTTGGTTCCTTGCCACTGTTGCCTTGGCTTTTGGCTTGCTTAGTTGGGGACATTTAATATTCAACTATATTATTGATCTGCCTTACTTAAGGTGGACGATGACGCAATTTTCTTCTAGAAACAAACTTTGTTGTATTAATTTCATGTTATCACTGTGAAGCTGCTTTGATACAATCTGTATTGTAAAAAGCGCTATATAAATAAAGGTGACTTGGCTTGACTGACTAGATGTGAACATATGCCAAATGATTGGATCCAAACTGCAACCTGCTCAGGGTTGGTTGAAATACCCTTCATGCCTCCTGCTCCCTTCCCTTCCCTTGCCTGATGTATGTCTGCTTCCCAAAACATTTCGGCTCACACTGCAGGTGCACCATCTAAATGGCGGCACACATGACTTCCGGCAAGAAGGTCTCTTTGTTTTGAAAGTACTTAACCCTAGAGTTGAATGGTTAAATAATCCTCCACAACAACTTGAGAAATCAGCAATAACACTGAATATCAACGGTTTTTAATCCTTTCCTTATCAAACCACAAGAAGTCTGAATTTTAAAAAAAGAAGAATCTGAAATTTTAAAATAATGGTAACTAATTTTAGAACACCAGATTCACCCACAAGATGGATCTGACTAGAAATTCACAATGTATTGAACAATACTGTCATTATAACTCCACTTTCTGTCCACTTTTTATCTTAATGTGAAAACATAAGTAATGTCAACATTAAAATGTCAACATTAAACCCATTGACTGACTTTTGTACGAAAATTAAGGCGATATAAGAAAAAATCCCTTCTGATGCTCCCTTGCTTTACAACATACATATTACAACTACAACAGCTAGCTGCAACAGCTTATTTGCATAAAGACATGACCGTACCTCAAGAAATGTAAACAGATTTAGGTTATCAACATTCACATCAAAGAGCAAGAGCTCTTGTGATTCTGAAATGTGAGATTATTGTGTTTACCATGAAAATAACCTAAAATTTTGTCCGAAATTAATAAAAAATGTTTATAAATTTATCCGAATTTGTCTGAAAGTGCCAGAAATGAAATCAGCATCCTCTAAAACCACTCACATATTGTATAAATTGGCCATACAGTGCAAAATATGTGGTCAAAATGGACGATTAAGCTAATTATGCTAATTATGCAAATTGCTCAACATATGCAAAATAGCATCTGGCAGTTTCTGTATGTTGGGGACCCATACTTCACATTTCTGCAATAAAATGTGTGTGTACTCAACATTTCCGGGTTCACAATGGGGCTTTATGGGCTGGCTACTAGACTAATTCACAAAATCGTGCATAAAGGAATGCGCATGCTCAGACCTGAATCGTTTACACCAATAAGATTGTGGTATTATAAACCAATTAAATTGGGGGTGGGCGGAGCGACACGTGTCGCCCCGCCTAAAAGTGTCGCCCCGCCCCATCGTCCAGACTGCACTCTGGGGTACTACCAAAGACCCGCCTTTTTTAGTTACTGTGTGACAAGCCAGGCGGCTCTCACGAGTCACGCACATCATGTTCTCACTCACGCACTGAAAAATACATCGCGGGGCAAAGACTAATGGCCTTTACATAGTCAACGCATCGGTACGCATACGCGTGCGCAAGGCTACACATCGCTACGCTTCGGCCGCCATTATGCGTCGATGCGTAGCCAAATGTGTCATCCTAGTTTTTGATACGCGACGCGCCGATGCGCGCAATACTATGCGTTGTCGGTGGGGGCGACATTGCAAGTAATGTACATAAAAAGGTATATTATTATGTTTACAGAAGAAGAAGATTTGAATACAATGGCGGGCGAAGAGGAAAAGTTATGCGAGCTTGTTCGTATACATCCTTTGTTGCCGCCGATGTAAAATCAGCAATATGCACTCCTCTTCAGTTGCCATTTTGATCTGAATATTACGTGACCCGACTCTAGACTCTACTACCCCCTGCTGCGCGATCGGTGTATTGCATTTCACGCATCGCCGGTGACGCTTGTGTACTATGAAAAGGAGCGCGTAGCTCGCGTCGCTCGCGTTGCTCGCGTTGACTATGTAACGGCCCTAACGTTACACAATTGACTACGAGAGAGAGTTCAGAGCAGCTTACTGTTGATATGAAACAAAGTCTCAACTTTCAAATATTGTAATTTAAATAATTTAAACAATACCGTTTTCAGGTTCAAGTCCACCGACGTTACTGACAGCTTTGTTGTCGGACAAAATTGCATATTCGGCGTTATGATTGGCCAGGTCGCCTGTCAATGAAACCCCCGTGGGCAGCAGGACAGGGCATGGTGAAATGAAACGTCACGTTTTAATTTAACATAATACATTTATTCTATATTTAACTTGTGAACGATCGACCTGCTGCTGCACATAGGCCTATAGATGGCTGCCTGGAGTGCCTGTGCGGCGCCTCTACGCATCAACCAATAAATCGCCTCCACCCTTCACTTCATTCTAGAGTCTAGACTATTTTTTTAAAACACAGCGTCATCGTCAACCCCACAAATTTTCGGTAAGTTTGATTATTAACTTAATGGATGTTTGATCTTGCTTTTTGTGTTTGATCAAACTCTATATTCGCCTAAAGGGCTGGCGATAATATCCGGTAGAAATATGTAAATTTTGCTGAGACATCATGATGTAAGTTTATAAATTAAACGCGTTTTTAATCATTGTGGTTTGGATACAAATTATTTTAAATGATAACTTGAGGCGGTTTTGCACAGCGCACTGGAGTTCCGACTCTGAGGTCTTAAAGTGACAGTAGCTGCTAATAAAGCTGCTGTCGCCATTTGTGTCCATAATGTTTATCAAACATCAGAAAGAGAATAATTTACTGCCCTTGAATGAATCACTTTTGTAAAATTAATAAGAATGAATGTTGAATTTATAGTGAAAACTATGTATTGTATATTTGATTAGCCTACTTTATACAATATAATATTATTCAGTGCTTTAAGTTTTTCAAGGTCGATTTCTGGTGTGCCTTTGTTCTATTGTTAATTGTTGTTACTCTTGTCATCGGTACGCTTGAGATTCTTTTCTTAAGTTACTATTTTTTTGTGTGATATTGAAATTGGTCACAAGAATTGTGAAATGTTAGTGCCATTAAATTTTGATATGATAAAAAATCGTTTTAAAAGTAATATAACTTAACTGTGAAGTATATCATAGATTGATAAAATGACTCGTATAATGATAGAACATTTAGCTCATGTAGTTGGTGACCTGTAGTGGTGGGGGGCCCTGCAGTAACTCATAGCCCCGGGGCCCAGTGAGCTCTTAATGCGGCCCTGTCTACATTACTGCCTGTCTACGTGTTTTATTTGTTCTGTTTACTGTAGAGAATTTATTTCCAGCCTTAACATTATAACTCAAAAGGATGTTTGGCTGCAGTTTTGAAAAGGCTGATCTCTACTGCTCGCTTTAAGTGTGCTATAGACCAATTTTCAGTTGGTAAACATGGTGACGTTTTTCTGTGGGCGGAGCTTACGTGGTGGCAGAACGATCACTCTGGCCGCTTCACTAACGTAAAGTCTGCAAGTTTTGTTAGCTTGTTTTTAACAATGACTGGAGAAAATCCGATTTTATCTTAATGTGCAAGGTCACTCACTGTCCAGGACCGCGATTGTTATTTGCAAAAGTTAATTTTAACGGACGGAACCAGCCGACCCTTACACTCATTGATTGAGGATCTGACAGGATTAACGTTAACGTTAACGCTACCTCCGGTTGAGTGGCCTGACTTCTACACCTATCCGATAGAGAAACAGAGGGCATATACATCTTTAGATGCCTATAACTATGTGCTGAATGGTCAAGTACAAGACTTGTGTGGTACGATCCGCAGTTCTGCCGAGCCAGCGCGATGAAGACGACAATGTAAAGAGTGACATTACGGTGCAATTTTAATGAGGTGAATATTTTCTAGAAATAAAAAATTGCAGATAAAGCATATTCATTTTCCTCCAGTTTTCACTTTGTTCTGCCACCAGCTAGCGCCGTGACGTAACTGTGACGTCGGCTGGAAATTGGTCTATTAGAGAACTAAAAAAAAAAAGTATTTTTTTACGTACCTTTCAGAGATATATTTTACAAAAATTATACTTGTCTTATACTGACAAGTAGGTATACAGAAAGGTTTGCCCTAGTATAGACCTAATTGGCTTGTAGTTGTGCTAAGTCTTTTTCATAGTCGCCTATTAACAGACTCCAGCCTCCCTGCCACCCCCTACAGCTGATGTATTTCATTTTTTTTTTTTTTTACTTTACTTTTACTTTATTCCAGTTTTCGACATGAACTCGCCACTGGTTACGCCGCAGAATGACGTTGTCACGTGGCCTCTGTTACTTTTCTCAGCGTTGGCGGGAGAATCTATGACACACTCGTATGCGATTACAGTGTAGGGATTTCATTAAAAATAATTGCAGTTATCGCTGGGCGGATTTTCATGTTAGAAATAACCTGTAGTCCATCCTATTCATGTCCATTGTCCATACATCCGCGCGCCCCCAGGTGGAAGTTAACATTCACTTCCACGCACGTGACAACATTCTCTCCATTCATTGGCTGTGAAGGCGGAAGTGAGTCGCATTAACCCTTCCGCCAACATCAATACAAACACACAACATCGCCGCAAGAAAACAGGTAAGATAAACGATTACCTCATAAACTAAATCTAGTTTATTATGTCAGCCCGCCGCGTGTCATAATTCACAATCTGCTCTCGATAAGTGTATGCGTCATTTCCCGGTGTTTAGCTGTGAATGTATGTCATATTAGCTGCCCAGTTTAGCATGCCATTCATATGATGTTTGTTGTTCAATTGCACGGAATATCTGACATATTATCATTTTATAATATTAGAACAGGGTGTTCAATCATATAGATGCCACATATGATCATTCTCGTGCGAGGGACCCCATTTAAAGGGCATTTATAAATGTATATGTGTAAAGACTCAATTTGTGACAAATACATATTAGCCTATAAATGTGTAAAATATTATTTGGAAAATAATAGCCTATTTTTTACTCGCTATAGCACTGTGCTGTGTATTGTTTATTTGTTTATTTAATGTTTTATAATTCATTTGAATCTATTATTTATTCATTTCTTAATATGAGGATATTCTAATATTTTTTACTTGTATCATATTTTGTATTTTAATCTTTTTGTTTATTTAATTAAATCTTATTACTTTCTTTTTACAATGTGTGTGTGTGTGTGTGTGTGTCAGCTAGGGCTGGGCAACGATTAATCGCGATTAATCGCATCCAAAATAAAAGTTTGTGTTTACATAATATATGTGTGTGTACTGTGTTTAATTATTTTGTATATATACATACACACACATGCATGTATATATTTAAGAAAAATGTGTTATTAATATATCAAATATTTATATTTATATATAATATTAATTATGTATAAATATATATAAAGTATATACATGCAAATATATACATGCATGTGTGTGTATGTATATATAAAAAATAATTATACACACTACACACACATATATTATGTAAACACAAACTTTTATTTTGATGCGATTAATCGCGATTAATCGTTGCCCAGCCCTAGTGTCAGCATTATGTATTTGTTATTTAAATCTATTTTTATTATTTATTTGAATGTGTGATTTGTTGTTTTATTCAGTTATGAATCTCGTGTTTACTCTTCTGTCTGTGTGTGTGTGTGTGTGTGTGTGTGTGTGTGTGTGTGTGTGTGTGTGTGTGGGGTAAGTATGGAGCTGGCCCACAGTCTGCTGCTGAATGAAGAAGCGCTGGCTCACGTCACCGAGGCCAAGAGAGCCGTCTTCATCTTCGAGTGGCTCCGCTTCCTGGATAAAGTTCTGATCGCTGCTAACAAGGTAAACAATCATGGAGAAACACATGCGTTTGCCACTAAATAATGAGTAATATTTAGCCATTGAATTGATTTTCAGGGCCATTTTTACACATTTGAGGGAAATGTGTTTCAGTAATATTCAGTTTTCAAATATTAAATATCTTAGTAAATTAATTTGACTAAATTCTCATCTGAACAACTATGGCTGTAATTATAAAATCGAATCAACATACATGCACAAACGTGTTTGTAAAAGCACAATTTTTATATAAACAAATACGTTTTGAATGACTGTACTGCTATGTTAAATCAGACACTGCAGATTTGATGAGTCCCTCATGTTTAGTGTCTTCAGACCCGAGGCCGATCATGTTTATTCCCTGCACACTCGTTCAGGAAGTGTGTTTCTGTCGTGTGTTCTGCGGTGTTTCTGCCGATCTGATTTGAGCTCAGTCTAAACATCCTCATTTTCATCTAGTGAAAGAAATACACAAATGAAGATAAAAGCCAACAAATTAAACGTAATGGATGTAGAGATGCACCGATGTGAAAATTGTGGCCGATACCGATAACCGATATTAATATTGCTGTTATGGCCGATACCGATATTTACCGATGTCGATATCTCTGTATAGAAAACACATAGCGAGGATTAGGGCTGCACCATATTGGTAAAAAATGACGTTGCGATATAAAAACAATTTCACCAGATGACTTGAATAGCTCTATTTGGAAAGAATGAATCATTCTAGAATGACTGGGGTGGTTTTGTCATGGAGTAAATCCGCATAGAAACTAATATTAATAGAATGTTAACTAATGTAGTTAACTAGACTTTAATAAATTGAACCTTATTCAGGGTTTCTGCAGGGTTTAGTCAGTCAAATTTAAGACTTTTTAAGACCTTTTTATGACCATTATGATTTAAATTCATGACCTACACGAATTATGAAAAATAACTTCCTTTCAAAAGTCTTTTTTTTATTGACTTTCATTAAAAGTAATAAGTTTAATTATTTAAAGGTTCCATTTTCTTAAGAGTAACAAACTGAAGGCTCCCTTTTCTCAATAAGTCTCAATAACACAGGAACAACACTCAACAATTATCACGATAATATATATCAGTCAATATAGATAATTATCACGATAAATGTCAATTCTTTATTTCTTTCAAGTTTAAAGGCAAATTTTCTTCTCCTAACTGAAAGTTGTAGAAACCAGAGCGTTAATTGTGGTTTTAAACTACTCTTTATTGTCAGAACATATCATGACAAACACTTGCCAAACAGGTAAACATTTCACAAATCTGAGGTAGAACATTCAAACATGTGTAATTTTTCCTTAACAAAATTAATATCTTTATTGGAAAATTAATTTCTTAGTTTCTGCATGTGCTAATGGGGGATATTGTTTCAAGTCTTGAAACAGGTTTGTGTTGCCTGACTTTGATGGCACGTTTCTTCATGAAATGTATGAAAAACAGTATAGCCTAAATACATTAAATACTGTAATTATATTCCATTAGTCCTTTAATACATTGTCTATATTAATAATATAATACACTTCAATATGTATATCCCATATTTCATGGTGCAGTTAATATAATAGGCAAACGTTATAGTAGCCTAAATCCATGGTAATTATGGGAATTTGTAGACGGAAAAGCTTCCGACTGTCTCGTTGCGCACAGTGTTTCTCCTGTTCGTCAGCGCCGTTTCATCTGCCTTTAAACTGGTTTTAATCCCTGAGACATTTGTGTTCTAAGCTGAATTCAAGCGCTTCTCACTGGATCTCGTGAGCGAGACCGATTAGAGTAAACCAGAACGCGTCTGCTCTAGTGAGCTCGCGCTGCCGTTTGGACTTTGAGCCGAGCGCATAAACAGTCCGGGAGGCGCGCGCGGTTCAAATGAGTTTCGTTATAGAGAAAAAAATATATCGCGATAATGAATGAATGAGCATATCAATTTAAGACGTGGCTAAATGTAACTTATGACCTTGTATGGAAAATCCGGACGTTTTTATGACTTTTTATGGCCTAAAATTCTTATTATTAAATTTAAGACGTTTTATGACTTTTTATGACTCCGCGGAAAGTAACCCTGCTTATTGTAAAGTGTTTCCGATTTATGTCTCTTGAGTTCAGTGTTGGACAGATCACAGATCAGTTGTTTTAACCATTCATTAAAGTGAATCGGTTCAAAGGAGTCATTAGTTCGCGAATCGGACGTGTCATTAACGGACCACGGCACACGTTGTGTGATTGTCCCGGCAGTTTAGGACATCGCACAAGATTTGTCTCAACACAGAAAACATTTCATCACTAGATAGATTTTTGTTTTGTTTATTGAAAGTGTGGTTTATGTCATCTGAATGTGTGGAAAGCTTTTCAGAGAAGATAAGGTAACGTTTTAGCACAATTCACAACCAGTGGTAGTTCAGAAAAAAAAACTTCGGTCTTTCGACCTTTTATCATCGTGTATTCTCAAAGATATTCAGTCAACTCAATGCATTAATATGCGCGAGGGAGGGAGAGAGAGCAAAACCGTCTGAAGACGGTGTGCGCGCGACCGGGGCTTTCACTCGCTCTGCTCGTTCCCTCAGTTAAACAAGCGCAGCAGTCGGTCATCTACATCACTCACCGGTCAAATAAGGCTTCGGCGGGACAAAAATACGCCTTAGTAAGGCTGACAGAAAACAGCGTGCAAGTTCCAGTCTTCTTGCGCTTGATGTTTAAACTGACAGGACTTGAGCTTGTAATGAATGCGCTCGTGCAAAAACAAACATCCCCACCCCCGCACTCACATCTACACACGAATGATTATCGGCCTGTTCACATCGGCCCTATTTTGACATCGGAACGATACCGATGTGTAAAAAATTGACCATATCGGCCGATGTTATATCGGCGGCCGATATATCGTGCATCACTAAATGGATGTATATTTATTGATTAATTCACTATTTTTAGAGGGGGTCAAAATGACAATTTTCACCTGAGATTTTGGATTGACTGTGTGTGTGTGTGTGTGTGTGAGAGAGAGAAACTGTTTCTCAAGCTGCCGTGTGTGTTTCACAGTGGAGCGGCGGCCGCCTGTCACAGAGACATCTATAAGAACGCTCGCTCAGAGGGAAAACTCTCCTTTTGATAATATTAGATGAATGCTGAACACATAGTGTTGTGTGTGTGTATGCATGTACAGTGTGTGTTTCCCCTGATGAGTGTGTGTGTGTGTGTGTGTGTGAGCACAGGTGGATGTGAAGGAGAAGCAGAAGCAGCTGCAGTGTTTCCGCTACATTCATTCTGCCTAAAATCATCCCGCCACGGCTGCAGCTTCTCGGTCCGATATTGTGCTATTGTTAAGCTAAAGGCATAAAAAACATTGTAAAGCACCATACATTTTTCGCACTATATTCCAAGACTTCTAAAGTCATTCAATAGCATAATGTGAGGTAAAAATGTATATTTAAGTCGTTAGGTTAAAGATAATGGAAACTCATCTCTCCTCAGTCATTCTCCATTCAGCATTCACACAGCGCGTCGCGTTCGGTTACAATAGTAACACAATGACACTCTCTTCAAGATCAATGTTCCCATTATTATACTTTATTTGTAGATAAAGGTCTATAGTTTCCATAAAATGACTTTATCTTGCTGGAGTTTATAGCGCTTTCTAAATCCTATTCCTTTCTCCCGGGTGTCTGTTAGATTAACGTTACAGCACTGGAGTACAGAGCGCTATGAATTGTTCTTCATGCGCACTGAAACATAGATGTAATACATTGCATAGATATAATACATTAAGCATAGATAGATAAAATCTCTTCGCTTTGTGCTTTGAACTTTTCAAAGCGAAGGGCTGCGCGCTGTGACTCTGCGTTGCTTCAAGTGCATCATTCGCATAATCGCTTTGCCGCACTTGTCGGAGCCTTTCATGTTATAATGCTTAGGAGAGGTTTAAACACCTGGGATAAGGGAGCGTGGCCAATGGGAATATCACTCATGGGCCACGCCCCCTCCCCCATGCGAAATGGTCCTGCCACCACGGCTGATAAAAATCCTAGAGGAAAAACTGAGCTGGTGGAGCAGCTGACGGGGTTGATCAGCAGTGTGTGTGTGTGTGTGAGCGCAGGTGGATGTGAAGAAGCAGAAGCAGCTGGTGGAGCAGCTGACGGGGTTGATCAGCAGTGTGTGTGTGTGTGTGAGCGCAGGTGGATGTGAAGAAGCAGAAGCAGCTGGTGGAGCAGCTGACGGGGTTGATCAGCAGTGTGTGTGTGTGTGTGTGTGTGTGTGTGAGCGCAGGTGGATGTGAAGAAGCAGAAGCAGCTGGTGGAGCAGCTGACGGGGTTGATCAGCAGTGTGTGTGTGTGTATGTGTGTGTGTGTGTGAGTGCAGGTGGATGTGAAGGAGAAGCAGAAGCAGCTGGTGGAGCAGCTGACGGGGTTGATCAGTAGTGTGTGTGTGTGTGTGTGTGAGTGCAGGTGGATGTGAAGGAGAAGCAGAAGCAGCTGGTGGAGCAGCTGACGGGGTTGATCAGCAGTGTGTGTGTGTGTGTGAGCGCAGGTGGATGTGAAGGAGAAGCAGAAGCAGCTGGTGGAGCAGCTGACGGGGTTGATCAGCTGTGTGTGTGTGTGTGTGTGTGTGTGAGCGCAGGTGGATGTGAAGGAGAAGCAGAAGCAGCTGGTGGAGCAGCTGACGGGGTTGATCAGCAGTGTGTGTGTGTGTGTGTGTGTGTGTGTGAGCGCAGGTGGATGTGAAGAAGCAGAAGCAGCTGGTGGAGCAGCTGACGGGGTTGATCAGTAGTGTGTGTGTGTGTGTGTGTGAGTGCAGGTGGATGTGAAGGAGAAGCAGAAGCAGCTGGTGGAGCAGCTGACGGGGTTGATCAGCAGTGTGTGTGTGTGTGTGTGTGTGAGTGCAGGTGGATGTGAAGGAGAAGCAGAAGCAGCTGGTGGAGCAGCTGACGGGGTTGATCAGCTGTGTGTGTGTGTGTGTGTGTGTGTGAGCGCAGGTGGATGTGAAGGAGAAGCAGAAGCAGCTGGTGGAGCAGCTGACGGGGTTGATCAGCAGTGTGTGTGTGAGTGCAGGTGGATGTGAAGGAGAAGCAGAAGCAGCTGGTGGAGCAGCTGACGGGGTTGATCAGCAGTGTGTGTGTGTGTGTGTGTGAGCGCAGGTGGATGTGAAGGAGAAGCAGAAGCAGCTGGTGGAGCAGCTGACGGGGTTGATCAGCTGTGTGTGTGTGTGTGTGTGTGTGTGTGTGTGTGTGTGTGTGTGTGTGTGTGAGCGCAGGTGGATGTGAAGAAGCAGAAGCAGCTGGTGGAGCAGCTGACGGGGTTGATCAGCAGTGTGTGTGTGTGTGAGCGCAGGTGGATGTGAAGAAGCAGAAGCAGCTGGTGGAGCAGCTGACGGGGTTGATCAGCAGTGTGTGTGTGTGTGTGTGTGCGAGTGTGTGTGTGTGTGTATGTGTGTGTGTGAGCGCAGGTGGATGTGAAGAAGCAGAAGCAGCTGGTGGAGCAGCTGACGGGGTTGATCAGCAGTGTGTGTGTGTGTGTGTGTGTGTGTGTGAGTGCAGGTGGATGTGAAGGAGAAGCAGAAGCAGCTGGTGGAGCAGCTGACGGGGTTGATCAGCAGTGTGTGTGTGTGTGTGTGTGTGTGTGTGTGAGTGCAGGTGGATGTGAAGGAGAAGCAGAAGCAGCTGGTGGAGCAGCTGACGGGGTTGATCAGCTGTGTGTGTGTGTGTGTGTGTGTGTGTGTGTGTGTGTGTGTGTGTGTGTGTGTGTGTGTGAGTGCAGGTGGATGTGAAGGAGAAGCAGAAGCAGCTGGTGGAGCAGCTGACGGGGTTGATCAGCAGTGTGTGTGTGTGTGTGTGTGTGTGTGTGTGTGAGTGCAGGTGGATGTGAAGGAGAAGCAGAAGCAGCTGGTGGACCAGCTGACGGGGTTGATCAGCAGTGTGTGTGTGTGTGTGTGTGTGTGAGTGCAGGTGGATGTGAAGGAGAAGCAGAAGCAGCTGGTGGAGCAGCTGACGGGGTTGATCAGCAGTGTGTGTGTGTGTGTGTGTGTGTGAGCGCAGGTGGATGTGAAGGAGAAGCAGAAGCAGCTGGTGGAGCAGCTGACGGGGTTGATCAGCAGTGTGTGTGTGTGTGTGTGTGTGTGTGTGTGAGCGCAGGTGGATGTGAAGGAGAAGCAGAAGCAGCTGGTGGAGCAGCTGACGGGGTTGATCAGCAGTGTGTGTGTGTGTGTGTGTGTGTGTGTGTGAGCGCAGGTGGATGTGAAGGAGAAGCAGAAGCAGCTGGTGGAGCAGCTGACGGGGTTGATCAGCTGTGTGTGTGTGTGTGTGTGTGTGTGTGTGTGAGCGCAGGTGGATGTGAAGGAGAAGCAGAAGCAGCTGGTGGAGCAGCTGACGGGGTTGATCAGCAGTGTGTGTGTGTGTGTGTGTGAGTACAGGTGGATGTGAAGGAGAAGCAGAAGCAGCTGGTGGAGCAGCTGACGGGGTTGATCAGCAGTGTGTGTGTGTGTGTGAGCGCAGGTGGATGTGAAGGAGAAGCAGAAGCAGCTGGTGGACCAGCTGACGGGGTTGATCAGCAGTGTGTGTGTGTGTGTGAGTGCAGGTGGATGTGAAGGAGAAGCAGAAGCAGCTGGTGGAGCAGCTGACGGGGTTGATCAGCAGTGTGTGTGTGTGTGTGTGTGTGAGCGCAGGTGGATGTGAAGGAGAAGCAGAAGCAGCTGGTGGAGCAGCTGACGGGGTTGATCAGCAGTGTGTGTGTGTGTGTGTGTGTGTGTGTGAGCGCAGGTGGATGTGAAGGAGAAGCAGAAGCAGCTGGTGGAGCAGCTGACGGGGTTGATCAGCAGTGTGTGTGTGTGTGTGTGAGTGCAGGTGGATGTGAAGGAGAAGCAGAAGCAGCTGGTGGAGCAGCTGACGGGGTTGATCAGCTGTGTGTGTGTGTGTTTGTGTGTGTGTGAGCGCAGGTGGATGTGAAGGAGAAGCAGAAGCAGCTGGTGGAGCAGCTGACGGGGTTGATCAGCAGTGTGTGTGTGTGTGTGTGTGAGCGCAGGTGGATGTGAAGAAGCAGAAGCAGCTGGTGGAGCAGCTGACGGGGTTGATCAGCAGTGTGTGTGTGTGTGTGTGTGTGCGAGTGTGTGTGTGTGTGTGTGTGAGCGCAGGTGGATGTGAAGAAGTAGAAGCAGCTGGTGGAGCAGCTGACGGGGTTGATCAGCAGTGTGTGTGTGTGTGTGTGTGTGTGTGTGTGTGTGAGTGCAGGTGGATGTGAAGGAGAAGCAGAAGCAGCTGGTGGAGCAGCTGACGGGGTTGATCAGCAGTGTGTGTGTGTGTGTGTGTGTGTGAGTGCAGGTGGATGTGAAGGAGAAGCAGCTGGTGGAGCAGCTGACGGGGTTGATCAGCAGTGTGTGTGTGTGTGTGTGTGTGTGTGTGTGTGTGAGTGCAGGTGGATGTGAAGGAGAAGCAGAAGCAGCTGGTGGACCAGCTGACGGGGTTGATCAGCAGTGTGTGTGTGTGTGTGTGTGTGTGTGAGTGCAGGTGGATGTGAAGGAGAAGCAGAAGCAGCTGGTGGAGCAGCTGACGGGGTTGATCAGCAGTGTGTGTGTGTGTGTGTGTGTGTGTGTGTGAGCGCAGGTGGATGTGAAGGAGAAGCAGAAGCAGCTGGTGGAGCAGCTGACGGGGTTGATCAGCAGTGTGTGTGTGTGAGCGCAGGTGGATGTGAAGGAGAAGCAGAAGCAGCTGGTGGAGCAGCTGACGGGGTTGATCAGCAGTGTGTGTGTGTGTGAGCGCAGGTGGATGTGAAGGAGAAGCAGAAGCAGCTGGTGGAGCAGCTGACGGGGTTGATCAGCTGTGTGTGTGTGTGTGTGTGTGTGTGTGAGCGCAGGTGGATGTGAAGGAGAAGCAGAAGCAGCTGGTGGAGCAGCTGACGGGGTTGATCAGCAGTGTGTGTGTTTGTGTGTGTGAGCGCAGGTGGATGTGAAGAAGCAGAAGCAGCTGGTGGAGCAGCTGACGGGGTTGATCAGCAGTGTGTGTGTGTGTGTGTGTGTGAGTACAGGTGGATGTGAAGGAGAAGCAGAAGCAGCTGGTGGACCAGCTGACGGGGTTGATCAGCAGTGTGTGTGTGTGTGTGAGTGCAGGTGGATGTGAAGGAGAAGCAGAAGCAGCTGGTGGAGCAGCTGACGGGGTTGATCAGCAGTGTGTGTGTGTGTGTGTGTGCGAGTGTGTGTGTGTGTGTGAGCGCAGGTGGATGTGGAGAAGCAGAAGCAGCTGGTGGAGCAGCTGATGGGGTTGATCAGCAGTGTGTGTGTGTGTGTGTGTGCGAGTGTGTGTGTGTGTGTGAGCGCAGGTGGATGTGAAGGAGAAGCAGAAGCAGCTGGTGGAGCAGCTGACGGGGTTGATCAGCAGTTTGTGTGTGTGTGTGTGTGTGAGCGCAGGTGGATGTGAAGGAGAAGCAGAAGCAGCTGGTGGAGCAGCTGACGGGGTTGATCAGCAGTGTGTGTGTGTGTGTGTGTGTGTGAGTGCAGGTGGATGTAAAGGAGAAGCAGAAGCAGCTGGTGGAGCAGCTGACGGGGTTGATCAGCAGTGTGTGTGTGTGTGTGAGTGCAGGTGGATGTGAAGGAGAAGCAGAAGCAGCTGGTGGAGCAGCTGACGGG